ATTCACTTGCTTAGGAAGGATTTTGATCCCTATTTAGACCAGCTCTCTGCTCAGTATAGATTTTGCCCTGATGAAGGTGCAGCTATGACTGAAACGCATGTCGGAATATTTGATATATTAATTGTTTCTTTTTTTTACCAGGCACATTTGTGCACTCTTATTATGGCACCTATCGTGTCCTCTAGTTTAGTGGTGGTGTGATTCTCTTAGTCCAGTTTAGCTATATATGGTAGTAGGTTGCTGTCACTTCAGCAATTGAGGTATTCTCTGATCTTTACTTATTTATCTACTTTCATTTATTTCTCCTCATCTCCATGTTTTTTCCTACTGTTTCAGTACTAGTGGGAACCCTAATTTGTGGAGTGTTAACTGTTTCACAGATACTTACCTCCTCTATTTACAGGATTATCTAAGTAAACTGATATTCATCTACTTTTATTTTTAAGCCCCTGTGTACGACTTACTTATTTTAATACAGGTCTTTACCACTATACAACGTTATTTATCCTTTGTTACCTTGTACATTTGACCACACTTAATAAAGTCAGTATAGTACATTGTGGCCATTTATAGGAATCTCCTTGATACCTTTTTCTAATTACACTACTTTTAGACACCATTTAAAGAGTATTATTGCCTGTAATTCCTTATCTACCAGCTAGGGGACTGGTACTACCCACACTGACACTGTCCCACGAGCAGTGCTTGTCTTTTGTTGAGTGCCCGCTGTCAGTGAGATATCAGACTTTATTTCTTAAATAAATCCCTTTGCACTTCAGAATTTACCTGGCTGCTTCTGTCATATCATCAATAAACACTAGTAACCAAGTGCCATTGGAAGTCATGTACGCCCATGCCATCAAACTGCCTCTCCTGTGTTTTACAGATGATATGGTATGCACTGGATCATGAGCCGTACCTTTTTCACACCTTCAAAAAGGGGCTGTAGGGTGTATAGGGGTTGTTTGGGGTATAGGGGGTAGAGGAGGATGGAGGGATAGGAGCTGTAATGAGGCAGTAGTGGTTAAGATTATATACATTTTTTTTTTTTATTTAAAAAAAATTACCTGTGTCCCTGTACCCCGGCTGGGTAGCTCCGCCTCGCATCTTACACGCACCCTGGAATGCATCTGCCGCAGTCGCCGCAGCTCTCCTTCCAGACAGGTATCATCCCTTCTGCCTACTCCGCTGCAGCCCTTCTTCCAGGCAGGTATCATCCCCTCTGCCTATTCCGCTGCAGCTCTGCTTACAGTGATTATAGTTATGCCTTTACAAAGGCAATGGTGGCTCTCAGGCCTAGCTCTCTTGTTTTATCCCAGGGCTAAAGGGATCCTGCAACCAGCACACAGGTCTGAAGACTCTGTTATTAGGATCCCTAAAAATTCACACAGGACACAAGTTCCAAAAGGAACTGACAAACAAACCTTTATTTCACTTGGGACTAGCCCATATGATCATTACATACACATTGCTGTGACAATTAAAATAAAATACAAATAACCAAATAATAACAGACAACATATAGCAACTTATTATAAGATGCTATAGCCTGCAGAATTAGCAATATGCATATCTACCCAAATATGCAAATTAGCAAGCCTTGCTATTCAAGTAGTGCATATAGCTTTTGCTGCAACCAACAGAGGACGCTATACAGGCTCCATAGCCAAATCCTCCTGCTTGGTAGCAAGCATCAGCAGGACAGGACAGCACACAAACAATTAACAAAAAATACATAATACACATACATTACGCACACCCTCCACCTACAATGGGCCCAGGGTGACTTGAACATGGGAGTCACCATGTTTACCATTCCTGCACAGACCTAATAAAAATGACTACTACTCTGCCACCTCTACCCAGTGGTAATGCCCAAAAACCTTTGTTCCTGTCCTGATAGAAAAATATATTTTGTTGGGGGGTGGGAGTAGCACTGCAGTGCTTCGTCCTGTAAAGCATTGCAGTGTTTTGTTACCTTTTTTTTGCAGAGATCTCATGTATTTGTAAAATGACTGCCTGACCAGCTGCCACTGCCACCTCCCTGAGCTCATGTCAAAAGGCTGCTGCAGTTCTGACTCTGCAGA